AAAGAAAGAAAGAAAGCTGACTGGTCATATACAGTCTAGCACAATGGGTCTCAACCTGTGGGTCGCAACCCCTTTGGGGGTCGCCCTTTGGGGGTCGAACGACCCTTTCACAGGGGTTGCCTAAGACCATCCTACATATCAGATATTTACATTACAATTCAGAACAGTAGCAAAATTACAGTTATGAAGTAGCAACAAAAATAATTTTATGGTTGGGGGTCACCACAACATGAGGAACTGTATTAAAGGGTCACAGCCTTAGGAAGGTTAAGAACCACTGGTCTAGCAGATGAAGGTAGGATGCGATACAGTCCAATCCCAGCCCTTCCCTGATTCCATGAGAAGTTGGGACGCGCCTCACCCAACCGTCCAGCATCCTGCAGCTGAATCTTGAGCATTTCCATGGGACAGGTAACCACCACCTGGCACATTCCAGCTCCACACCCAGCTAGCATCTCCATCTTCAGGTTCCGCTGCATCCTGTGGGCCAGGAGTCTGTCTCCGTCAGGGGCAGGACCGTCCTGCCACCCACTTAGGCACGTATACCCTCCCTCTGTAAGTGGGACCTCCCGTGATGTCACCCTCATCTGTTACTCCTTGTCACCCTTGGCTGCCACTCACCCCATGGGGTAGGCCATCACCTGGCCCTCAGGCTCACTCCCCTACAGACAGGAGATTAAATGTAAAATAACCCTGCTAGGGAGGCGGCACCCACAGGCAAGTTGAGAACAGCAGCAGTGAATCTAACCAAGGCAGGCGTTTGATTCTCCCTGCTCCCTTAAATGATTCTCTAGGAATGGAGGCACAGAGAGAAACAAAGTGGCGTCTGATTTTTAAATGAGAAACAAAGTGGGGTCAGCTAGCTGATGAATGTATTTGCATATATTGTGTGTTCTACATATTATCAATCCTTTCCGAATTACACCAGCTCACTCTCTCCCTTCACTTCATTCGCCTAAACATCCACCAGCTTCACCACGTGCATGTAATGCACATGACTATTTACATATGTACAAGCAGAGAGAGACATAATTGTGATTCTCTCCCAAAAAACAGATACAGCGAAGGGCCTCTGTCCCTGCCCCACCTGGCCATACCCATCTTCCATGAGCAGCTGCCGAAAGAAGTCATTGGCTGCCAGCTTAATGGCCTTCTCCGGAGTGACCAGGGTCAGGTTCACCGCAGCCCCTGCAAGTGAAGGACGATGAGACGCCAAGGCCATCTTGGCCATAACAAATCTTGGAGAGTACTGCCCGTGCAGATGGCTTCCTCCCAGCCTCGAGGGGGTGGGGTGTCTGGGGGAGGCAGGGCTCCTTGGCATGATTTATTGATTTGATTTTTCATTTTTTCTCCCTACCACATTTTTCTCCTTTTTATGTATTTATTCCTTTGGGGACTCATTAGTCCAGGTATCAGGATGTCATGTTATTTTTGTCCTTGCTGGTGCTCACAGCTCTGCTGATGAATAAGTGGTTCCCAGTGACAGCCCCCTGGGCCTTGGGGCCAGTGTTCCAGCTGCCCTATGCTGCACCAGCCCAATCCCACCAGCAGTTTGGTGGATCCCAGAGGTTTTATTTTACTTCTCAGGGATATTAGCCTGTCAGCTCTTTCTCAGCTCCAGCTTTGGATCCATTTTCCACAGGATAATTGTGGGGATACTGTAAGGGATGAGAGGGAAGAGCCCCAGAGTCCTTTCTAGGAGCTCAAACCCTTTCCATTCCCTGTTCCTTTCAGCCTCTCCCTCTTCCGCTCTTAGTAGCTAGATGCTCTGGAGATAGGCGGCACAGATAGGGGGGAGTGGGGACACGGGCCCTGTGCCCTGTGTGCTCACTGAGTTCTCAAGAATCCTCAACTGGAAACACAGCTACCTCTGTCTCCACCAAAGAACGGAAGGTTTGTGAAAAGTTACCAAAGATATCAGGTCAGCCAAGGTCATCACAGCAGCCCCCGGGCAGAAGGAACCCCAATTCCCAACATTGCACAAGCTCACAAGGTCTGAGCCTCTGTGACCCAGGCCATCCCCGTGCCTGGTAAGCCCACCTCGGTACATGCCCAGGAAGCCCTCGGCCCGCGCCGTCTTCATCAGGCAGTCAACCCTAGAAACAGAGGCCGCAGGAGAAGTCAGGGTGTACAAGGGGAGTGCTCCATCACCACCCCCTGCCTAAGCTGCAGGCACAGCCCAGCTGACCCCTCCCCATCCCACCTGAACCACACTGCTCTCCACACCCTCCCGGGGCCCCTCCCTACCTTCAACCCCACTGACACCTACATTCCTTTGTATATGGCTTTCCCATGCTGGTTCTGCAGCCGAGTCTTGGCCAGGTCGATGGGGAACACACAGGTCACCCCCACGAGTCCTGCCACACCTCCATTGATGAGTTTTGCTCCAATGCTAGGCCATGGGGGACAGAGAGGCAGGTAGGTTACAGAGCTGCACCCAGCCAGCCCGGGGAGCAGGGCACGGAGCGGCCAGGATGAGCACAAGCCAGGTGTCCAGAGACCCCTCTCCTCAGCCCGTCCCAGGTCCGGCGGCAACCTGCACTCACCAGCGCTGAGGCATCTTGGCTCCCAGATCTGGGATGCAGCTGGCTTCTGGGAAGGGCCAGTCTGCCCCTGGGGCCCCACAAGGGCATAGCATGTCCCATGGCCAAGCCTCCCCCAGCTCCCAGGCCCACGCCTCAGCACTCCTTACCCTCCCAGCCAAACAAACTGTAGCTTTCTTTCGGGCCTAAGGTCAGGCAAAGCTGAGCTGGAACCCTGCCTATGCTGAGGACATGGGCCAGTTTTCTCACCCCTCTCATCCTAAGGCCCTAGGTGAAGATTAAACGAACTAAAACAATTGGTAAATGGCAACTACTGTTAATTACGAAAAGCACACATTTCTGACAATGAGGGCGTCTAGTCAGCCCAAGATAATGTGGCTAAAGCATCAAGATTATCTAACTTTATTATCTAATAAAAATGATGTCTGGGGGCGGCACCTGTGGCTCAAGTGGCTAAAGTGCCAGCCACATACACCTAAGGTGGCGGGTTCCAATCCAGCCTGGACCCGCCAAACAACAATGATGGCTGCAACCAAAAAATAGCCAGGCGTTGTGGCAGGCACCTATGGTCCCGGCTACTTGGGAGGCTGAGGCAGGAGACTTGCTTGAGCCCAGGAGTTGGAGGTTGCTGTGAGCTGTGATGCCACGGCACTCTACCCAGAGGGACAGCTTGAGGCTCTGTCTCAAAAAAATAAAATAAAATAAAAGATTATCTAACTCTAGGCAAAAGTGAAGCCATAGTTTAGGTAACCTGGGCCCCCTTGCTCTGTTAAGTACAGGAGTTTTAGAACAGAAAATAGAATATAAGCCTTTCTTATTTGGAACCTAGTAAAATTTTCTTATCTTTCAGGGAAGGGGCAAATGGTGAGCAAAATATTTGGAGATTGTTTACCTGGAAGTGGTAAGAGCAGATAATAGGTTTTTCCACAGTGACCCTTGGTAAGCAAACAAGAACTCTGTGACAACAAATAGGACTGGACAATCTACAGTCAAAGAAGACGTGTCCACGCAATTCGAAATTATATTTAACAATGTTATATGTATATTTGTATGTATATTTGTGTGTATATATATTTATGTTTGGAGGAAATGGGTCTCACTTGCTCTTCCCTAGGACTCACTCAGAAGCCAAGTGATGTGCTGACATCATAACACCCTTTCCCCCAGCCAGACCCAGAGATTTCTGGCTGCCTCAGTCAGAGCTCACCTCAGATCCTGGTGGGACATTCTGCAAGGGCGAAGGCCTGCGGGTGGATCTCAGGACACAGGACTGTTGGCTCCTCCGGGCAGCTGCTGCCTGGGCTGGCTGAGGAGGAAGTGGTGTCTGTCTCCCGGACTCTAGCCCCCTAGTGGAATGGACAGAGAAGGGGTTTGCAGTGCAAACTGGCCTGAGCAGACCCCGGCAGGTCACAAGTCACAACCCTCCTGAGCTGCAGCTGTCTCCCCCACAAAGTGGTCAGAACAACACTTGCCTCATGGTGTCAAAAACCACATATGTGATGGAACTTTTTTTTTTTTTAGAGACAGAGTCTCACTATGTCACCCTAGGTAGAATGCCATGGCGTCGCAGCTCACAGCAACCTCCAACTCCTCGGCTTAAGCGATTCTCTTGCCTCTGCCTCCCAAGTAGCTGGGACCACAGGAGCCCGCTACAACACCCAGCTATTTTTTGGTTGTAGTTGTCATTGTTGATTGGCAGGCCCAGGCTGGATTCGAACCTGCCAGCTCTGGTGTATGTGGCTGGTGCCCTAGCCCCTTGAGCTACAGGCATCAGAGCTACTGAGCCCAGAGCTACTGAGCTACTGAGCCCAGACATCTTTTTTTTTTTTTTTTTTGGCCAGGGCCAGGTTTGAACTCAGCACCTCCGGTATACGGGCTGGCACCTTACTCCTTTGAGCCACAG